AAAGCCGATGAAATATTCTCGTACCCGATCTCCTCTCCAACAGCCATCAATACATCCTCCACAGTCACACCAGCTGCAGCCGCAGGAACACACCTGACGCCGTGACGAAGGGCAACAGGTGGCGCTACCCCCGCGGAGCGGGACGCCATCCTGATCCCAAACAAATCTTAACCCTAAACCAGTATCTCACACAAAAACTATGTTCTTCTTTACATTCAAAACAATTGTTGTTTTAGAAACCGGAAAAAAAAAGAAGTAAAAAAAGTAGAAATAGACAGAAAAAAACAAACAAACAGTCACCCTCTCCACGTGGGAATTCCATAAAGATATTTTGTAAATTTCCTACTGTAACGATATCAAAACGTAATTTTTGATTAGTAATATGCATGGCTAAGAACTTAAGTTGGACAACTTTAAAGGCGATTTTCTCAATATTTAGATTTTTTTGCACCCTCAGATTCCAGATTTTCAAATAGTTGTATCTCGGCCAAATATTTTCCTATCCTAACAAAACATACAGCAATAGAAAGCTTATTTATTCTTTTTTTTTTTTGAAAAATTGACCCTTATGACTGGTTTTGTGGTCCATGGTCACATATTAAAGGGGTCATATGATGCGATTTCAAGTCGAGAGAGAGAGAGCGAGCGAGAGAGAGAGAGAGCGCGAGAGTGAGAGAGAGAGAGAGGGGGTCACATCACATCACAGTGGAGTCAGCTGTCTTAACCGTGGCTTGTGTACTGCAAACACATACCAGCTTCATCACTGTGTCTGTCACGCGACTCTGTTCCCCTTTCGGGCTCCGTCTTTACATTTATTTTGAAAGATGAAGCTCGCGATTATAGTAAGGGGCGTTACATTTCCGACGAGTGCTTGCGGTGTTCGGCCAATCACAATGCACTGGGTCAGCTGGCCAATCAGAGCAGACTGCGCTTGTTGGAAGGAGGGACTTTGTAGAAAACGAAGCGTTTGAGAGAGGCGGGGCATAGAGGACCTACACTAATGTACAGTATTTGAAAAATAATGTGGTTTTTGAACATTAAAGCATGTCAACATATTCTGTTACACCAAATACACAAAATAATGATCTTTAAAAAAGCATCATATGACCCCTTTAAGAAAGTTAACAGCATAGTCTTTCACATTCAATCATACACTCCTAGTGTTTAAAATTTATTTATTTGTTTATTTGAAAAATGGACTGATGAATTGTTTCTGATGAATTATTTTATATTTATTTATAATATAAAATTATAATCAAAAACATTATAAAAACAAAAAAGTTATTAATTAATGCATTAAAAATAAAACTAAAAACTAAACTAAAATGGCTGATGTCACCCTGATGTCTTATTTGGTAAGATAAGATAAATCTGTCCTATATTTTATTATTCAATATCCTGTTTTAATCTGAAATACGTAACATTACAGAAGTAAAATGCTCTGTAATGCCATTACATGCTGACATCATCGCTTAACGCACAAAAAATGTATATCCTACCAAATAAGGCCTAAATACAATAAAATTCCCAAAATTACAGCATGTTTATTCACAGGTTTAAGATGTCTAAACTTCCAAACCACCAATGCAAACTAAGCAAACCAATTAATGCATTAATGCCCTCTGCCGCTATTTGGGATGAAACTGATGTGCTCACAAAGCAAAGGAGCTAAAGATAACAGGATACGATCAAAAATGTAGCATATTACATTGAGGACTTGGTGATAAATGAACCAGAAAGTACTCACTGTTGAGTCTGCTGACAGGAATGGAGTCTGTCCTGTCATGGAGCCACTCAGGAGGGTGCGGACGGATGCTGGCCTGGGATGCAGCGTAAGCCACTGGGTCATTGCTCACCCAGGCAGTTAAATAAATGTAGAAGGCATTTGGGTTGATGATTCCATCGGCGCTCACCAAATGCTGTCTAGTTAGCTGGTGATAAAAAGAAAATGTAAAATTAGAAACTGCTCAAACAATACGGTTCGTTTGCTAAAATTAATAAGTATGTACACCAATGTATGTACTATATAAGTGAGTATTGTGAATGCCCACCAGCGCTGCAGTAATCTCTAAATGCTTCACTTCTTGCCAAGCACTTAGCTAGCTACCTCCTGTGAAGGCAAAGTCATTACGGCATCACACTCAATGCCATACATGCTTCTCGAGAAAATAAATCTACAGTCTCCCAGTCAGGAGTTGGGGGTCAGTGTGTGTTAGAGTGTGTGTGTGTGTTTGGGGAGGGGGTCAGGGTGTGTGGTAGAAATGAGAGTGAGTGAGAGAAAAATTGCTTGAGTTAGTGTAACAATAAAAAAAATTGGCCGGAGTCCCTGAGCGCGTCTGTGTGCAGTTAACCTTGCTGTTAACACAGGAGGAAATGCCACCCAGCAAATGGAGGAGAGCTATAAAAATAACACAACATCTGTACAAATGTTGCAAACACTTGCTTCTCCTGACCCCTATAGATACCCACAATGCCCGGCGCCACATTCGGCTTCTGCCGTTAAGGCAATATAGGGTTTTAGATAGTACAATGACTTGAAATAACACTTGACACTTGAAAAAAAAAATGTCTCAATGAAATAAAGAATATCGTGAGATGCTAAACTATACTGCTTTTCGATTGAAAATAAATAAATAAATAGGTGAGGGGAAAAAAATACTTTAACTGTACTGGTTTTCAATGTAACAATAAAAAATATCAGAAAATCATGAGATGTTAAACTACTGATTTTCAATTAAAAAAAATGATAAATACATAAAATTAGTAGATAAGGACAAAAAAGACATTTAACTACTTGTTTTTAATTTAATAATAAAAAATAAAAAAAGAACAGATGATAACAAATTCTGAGGTGTTAAACTATTTACTGTCAATTGAATACAAATAAATAAAAATAGTTAAATACATAAAATTATTAGATGAACAAAAAAATTACGAGACACTGAACTTTATTAGTTTTTAATTTAATAAGAAATTAAAAACTAAATGAAAAATAAATGAGAAAAATCCTGAGATGTTTAACAGTATTCATTTTCTATGTAATATATTTAAATAATAATAAATAATTACTTTATTGTCAGATGAGGGGAAAAAAATGAAAGTCCTCAAGGAAAAAGCCGTATGACTTTTATGGTGACCAGAATGAGAGAGGCAGCATGTGATTCCCGCCTCTGTATCCAGTGAAAGGGGACATGGCAGCAGTTCCAAGAGAAGGGAATAAGCGAGAGGCGGGAGAGAAAAAAGCGGACTTGGATTCCTAAGATCTGGATTGCATTAAGCAGCAGGATGCGCAACAACTGTATGTCTTCAAGCTGTCACGGGAAGCACACAGGCCTCCTGGCCCACTGCCGCCCCTCTTCCCTCACAGGCAGAGGAAATGACATCACAGGGCCGCACACCAACACAGATCGGCTGGCTTTTCTTTTCCACTCTACTGGCAATGGTTCAGCACAATAATGACCACTTGAACAACAAAAATGCAAATCATTTCTGGGCTCATGTGTGCATTGCCAATTACCCGAAAAGACGACACACTCTCAAACACACGCAATCTCTCGCAGCCGTCTGCTCCACTCCTCCTCACCCTCCAGCCCCTCTGGCATGTGGTATGCTTTATATTTTTCATATTTTTGCTCTCCTCTTGCCTGACATTTCATGCTGGGTAGCAACTGGAAACTGTTAATGTGTTAACCTGTCAAAGCACACGGACAGAAAGCGGCTGTCACAGCATGTGATTTAATATACATTAAATAAATCAATAAATCCACTGCTCTCTTGTCTCTGGTAGATGCACCGGGGACCTGATTATAAGTTACTTAAAACCTCGAAAATTCAGATTTTCATGATATGTCACCTTTAATCTATTATTATTATTATTATTATTATCATCAAAATAATATCCAAATTAATATAACATTAATAATAAATACTAATGTAATAATATTTCACAATCATAATTTAATCATTATTATTATTATTATTATTGTCAAAATCAAATTTTATAATACATATAAAAATGACAATAACTAAAAAAATCTTAATAATAAATATGAATGAAATATTACACAGTAAGAATTAAGAAGCCATTATTATTATTATTATTATTATTATCATCAACAATTTCATAATCGATATAAAAATTACATTATTTTCAAAAATAATAAATCTTGTATATTATATCTAACATTACTAGAATACACAGTTGTGCAGACGTGGCCTAATGGTTAGAGAGTCGGACTTGAAACCCACAGGTCGCAGGTTCGAGTCTCAGTACCATCAGGTAGGTGGGGGAGTGAATAACCAGCGCTCTCTTCCACCCTCAATACCACGACTGAGGTGAGACCCTTGAGCAAGGCACCAAACCCCCAACTGCTCCCCGGGCGCCGCAACAAAAATGGCTGCCCACTGCTCTGGGTGTGTGTTTGTTCACTACTGTGTGTGTGCACTTGGATGGGTTAAATGCAGAGCACAAATTCCGAGTATGGGACACCTTCCCTGGCAACGTCACTTTCACTGATGTGAAACTAAGCTAAAATAAAATAATCCATCTCTAACTGAGAATCATGGGATTCAATCTATGAAAACTGGAGTTGCATTGAAATATATCCAATTCTACTCAAGTGAGGTAGACTCAAGTCTAGTTGGTTTCTTACCAGGTTCATGTTGACTGGCTTGTCTCTGCGACCGGTCTGCACCAGGAGTTTGTAGGCCAGGATGCCATCATCAGAGCCATTCCTGTAGTTCCCCTGAGTGATCCTACCGGTCTGCCAATCTTTATCGAACGCCTCCTGCAGACCTGCCAGGAAACACACATTATTTTGAGGATCTTGTTCAGTATATACATAAACCATGTTAACTTCTCCTCAGTCATCCCTCAGCTCTATCTCTCTCCCCTCAACGCCAGTGGTCCGTTTCTTTCACATCGCTTTCTCTCTCCCTCGCATCACTGTCTGTGACCAATTTGTAGAGCCATTTCAAACCACAATATCAAAGACAGCTCTCTCCACCCTCTCTGGAACAGCCTTTGCTGAAGCCTTTACGCACATACATACACAAAGTGAACTCACACATAGAGATGCTGCCCCTGCACCGAAAAGGAAAACATGTGGTCCAATGAGAGTGCTGAAAGGATTAAATAAAGAAAGTAACTGGAAAACGCCAATGATGTTTGAGGTTCTGGTTGGCTGAGCTGACAGCGACAAAGCAAGTCTGTACATGCCACCTAAACTCCGTCTGGACAGAAGCCGTTTGGAGACAAGCAATGCCTTTTTAAAGAGGAGCTGTGAGAGAGAAAGTGGGCAAAACAAGGTTTGCTTTTGAATATGGCCCGCCCGGGATTAGATACGGCATTCTGAAAGAAGCCTCTGTCAAGGAGGCCACAAGGAAAAAGATGTTGCAGGGACATGCCCTGTATCTCCCAATCTTGTTTTTTTTTTTCACTCTCACCTCAACTGCATTTTTTTGTCCCCACACTGTTTCGGTCTTTCTTTTTTCCACATTTTCACTCTCTGTTCACTCTCTATCTGTTTTTAATCTCTCCATTTAAGTATCACTCTTGGATCATAATCCGTTTTTTAAGACATTAAATGCGTTACAGATTTGGAGGTTTAGTAGCATGATTGATGTTTGTGAGAAACAGATGATCTGATGGTGGTAAAATTGAGGTAAAACTCAATGTTTTTTATTTTAATATATTTTAAAATTTTATTTATTCCTGTGATGGCAAAGTTGAATATTTAATTTTCAAAAAATCATTCTAAATTTGGCACCGAAAGTCTTGTGGGCAGCACATCGACATATAGCACCATTGCACTTCAGGTGTCCCGAGTTCGATCCCAGCTCGTGGACCAAACCTATTCTACTATGCTGATTTGATGCTATTTCTTCTATTTTCAATGATGAAAACAATTGTGCTGCTTAATATTTTTGTGGAAATCTTGATATATTTCTTTCAGGATTGTTTGACGAATAGAAAGTTCAAAAGAGCATCCTTTATTTGAAATATAAATATTTTGTAATATAAATGTCTGAACTGCCGCTTTTGATCCATTTAATGCATCATTGCTTAATAAAAGTATAACAATTTTCTAACAAGAAAAATGTATTACAGTTTATGCAGAAAACAAGAAGAAGAAAAAAACAAGCAAATGCTTATGTTGGTCCCTTTCTTGCAAGTCCGATGATCTCTTCCTGTCTAAACAGGAGTTTTTGGTCAGAATGAGCTAGAATCAATATGACCAGACCTTTTGCAGTTTAGTTAAAGGCTTGGCCCTTGGGTTTGTCCTCCAACAGTGGTCTCTGATGCTGGACTGATTGATTACACATCTGAGTGTATTACCTTGCAGCCAGTCTCTGAAGTAATGAAGCCACATGTGTGGGAGCTGGCCGTCGTCCTCCCGCAGAACGTACTTCACAGTGCTGAAGCGTTGGTGCAGCTCATAGAGTTGAGGCTGGATCTGTGCATAGTCAGCTTTCTGGGTCACCACGTACATGTTGTAGAAGGAAAAGTAGCGGAATTGGGCACGGATGAAGTCGTATTCGCCCGTCTCTCGTGGCACAATGTCAGTCAGCTCTAAACCATCCCGGACACGGGTGGTGCCGTACAGACTGACCCCGAGCAGTGCCAAAAAGAGCAAAATCACCACCACCTGATAGGAAACGCACACAAAAAGACAGATATGATTCAGGGTTTGGCTACTGAAGCTACTGCTTTTTTAGCGTCTTATGACGAAGTTCTGCCCTGTTTGAGGTGTTTGTGGTTTTCAGAAGGCCTTGACTCACAAAATAACACTTACACAGCTCAAAAAGATACACTAGTGCTCATTAAACGCCAGAAGATTAGCTCATCGCTGGCATCTGAAATTCCACTTCCAATCGGACAACGTGTATAATTGCAAAACAACATTTTATCCTCACCTTCGTTGTAGGCTGCAGCAAAAATGGCGCATAGTGCTTCTCAGCAAACGATGCAAATGTCCATCGTGAGCATGGCGGCTCCAGACAGCGTAAACTCGACTCCCCAAATTGAGATAGCAAGTCTCGTGTGGAGCTTGCACCGTCGGGACTCTGGCAGGATGCTCTATCAGAAGTCAGTTCTGGCCCTGCACTGCTGCTGTTGCTGTGGTTGTTGTTGTTACTGTTGTTGCGGTTGGGATTGGGATTGGGATTGGGGGCGTAGGGTTGAACGGAGATATGAGAATGGGGCTCGGCCGTGGTGTAGTAGGCCTGTGTTCTGGGGTTGTACTCTGTGCGCAGCTGTACGGTGGACTGCATGGTGATTTGGGTGTGCTGGGCAAAGCTGTGGCTGCTGTAGGAGGGCGGAGGGCTGTAGCGGCTGGATTCAGCAGAGGAGTCAGCATACGCCGCCTGCGGCTCCAACTGGATTACCCGGTTAGCGCAAGGACTAAAGGAAAGCAAGAGAAAGACAAAGAGCATTTCAGTAACACAAAAGCACCATGTAACAGTCGATTATGTGTGGAATTTCCTGCAATATCAATTTATATCGCAACAACACAGGACATGATCCAGAAGAGCTGGAAAAAGTTTACCACAAAAGTGGGGATCTTAAGAATTCCTTCTTTTAAGATACCTCGATTAGGCACAATTTTAAGCACCATATGTATCCTTAACGGAGAATCCAATACCATAATGTATGCGACATGGTCAGTTGTGAGGCGTCCCAATTTGCCTACTTACATTATGCACAAAAAATATGTACTTGTTATGTGAAGAAATGAGATACTTCTGAGTGTCAAAGAAGATTATGCATGTTTTGGGACATACTATCACGTCATAATTGCGTCTTTAACAGTTAACATGCATTAATTTTGTCACTGTTAAGGTATTCATATACACTGCATATTTCAGTTTATTTACACTCCTCAAGAATTCATCCTACCATATTGGAGGGAATTGAAGAAGCACAGTGATCTGCCAGTCGTGGGTCATTCTTACAATGAACTCTCCTAATGTGTTTGCATAATAAAGCATTTAAAAGTTTATGAACTAATGTATCTTTATAAAAGTTTACAATGTTGTTGCAGATGAAATATAATTTTATCAGGTTACATACTGATTATTAATCATTCAAACCCTTTTATCTAAATCTCTCTACTTAACCATCCAACTAGCACATCGTAGTTCCTTTTATTCGTGTCTGTAGCTCTGAACTGAATTATTTGCTAAAGTCAATGGGCAGTACGCAAATTGAGATGCAGCATTAGAAAAAATAATCCAGGATATTGGACGAGGTAAGAGAAAGTGAATAAAAATGGTTTATTTTACCCAACATTTGCATGTGCCGTGCATTTTTATTATTATTAGATTATCATGCTGTTAGCTTAGCAACATGCTAACATCAGCCTCTACTGAAATCAAATGAAAGTTGAGTTTCCTGTGAGGGGTGTCATTTTGTGGCTTAGGGTCAGTGACGGTTAGTATGCTGCCTTAGCAAATGCAGACTGCTAACTAGGCTTTGTAACAGAGCTTGTCTCTTTTCCATGATTTTCTATATGGATGGAGAGTTAGCGAGTGAGCTTCTGAACGTCCTTTAGATGTGGCAACTCGTTACTCTTGAGCACTCACGCAAATGCATGTAAATACAACCGCAATCAGCTTTCCAGTCGAGAGCAGTTAAAGCCGAGAGGCGAGTGAGTGTCAGTGACTAGAAAGCAAACGTCTCAACCATGGTGAAAGTTTAGGCATCAGGTTTAATTTCCTGCAGGAGTTTGGGGGCATGACTAAGAAGGTAAAGTATGTGCCTATAGCCCACTTGCTTTCTATTTCTCTCTCATCAGACACCAAGAATGTTGCAGCAAGCAGGAGAGGCAACAGCATGTCTTATTTGAGGGCCCGGGGCCTCAGACAGAGATAAACATCAACAACACGCACACATATGCACACAAAGTATAGATGTTAGGGCAGGTTGATGCTTAATTGTGTTGTTAATACTGCACTCAGTGTCATAACAGGCTGTTGTATATATTATCTGAATTAACTTGTTTGGAAAGATCACAAAATCATATCACACCCTGACCTCAGAGAAAGATGGATGGTTGTATGGCAGTGTGAGTGCAGCACAACTGTTTTTAACATTGATAATATAAAGAAATGTTTCTTGCGCAGCAAATCAGCATATTAGACTCATTTCTGAAGGATCATGTGACACTGAAGACTGGAGTAATGACTGCTGAAAATTCAGCTTTGCCATCACAGAAGTACATTATATTTTTCAATTCAATTCAATTCTAGTTTATTTGTATAGAGCTTTTCACGATACAAATCGTTGCAAAGCAGCTTTACAGAAAATTAAGTTTCTACAATATATTTAGTAGGAGCTTGTAAGTGGTGACTATGTCAAATTGATGTACACATGGCAGAAATGTACGGTAAAATTCAGTTAATGATGTAATCAAACAGACGATGAACACTATTAACAGCAATGATTATAACTAAAATATTATATTTTAAAACATATTAAACAAATCATCTATTTTAAATAGTACTAATATTTCACAATATAATTGTTTTACTATATTTGTATAGATCCATATAATAAATCCAACCCTGGTGAGCATGAGAGACTTTTTTTCAAAAATATTTAAAAATCTTACCAACCCTCAACTTTTGAACAGTTGTGTATGTAGTGTTATTGTTTTTTTTGTTGTTTTTTACAATACTTAAGGGACAAAAACATCCCCATAAGGACATTTGAGGACTTCAAGGTAAAAATGGTTCATAAATAAATTAAATCATGCTTTTCTTCTAAAAATGCAAAAAGTTTTCTATTAGGGTAGAGCTAGACTAAGTGTGTATTAAATAGGGGTGCAACGGTTCTCAGTAAAAAATCGAACCTTACGGTTCTCCACACATGGTTCGGCATGCACTAGGACCGCGGTTCAACTTAAATCTGACAATGCATCTGTAATATGGTTTGTTAGAGTTAGGCTAATGCATGTTTTAAAGTTAATTAAACAGCAACAACACGGAAATCACTCACTGCTCTTGATTGAATACATTTTGTAACTTTAATAAGGAATAATTTTTAATTTATACAGTCAAATATGCAATGTAGTTTTACATTTGATTACTTTATTCAATTTCTGTACCTAAAAACTGTTAGACTTACCTAAAAAACCTGAAAAGCACTGTTTATTTTATTTGTATCTTTGCTCTATTGCATTTATTTGTGCTGTTGCTTGTAGTTAGAATATTTGTTCTTATTTTTATTTGACAATATAGTTTTTTCCCTAAACATAGCAAATACCGAACCGTGACTCTAAAACAGTGATACAAACCGAACCATGAGTAAGTTGAACCGTTGCACCCCTAGTATTAAATATACTGGTAAATTTCTGGAAAACTGTCTGAAAATTTCCAAAATTTTCAGAGAGTAAAAAAATAAAAATAAAAATTCTGGAAAGTTTCCAAAATTTACCAGAAATTTTCCACCCCTTTGCAACATATTTATGATGTGTCTTCTTTTAGCCAGGTAAATGTGTGCTACCTGACAAAGCAGCAGAAAATGTCGAAGCGGCGGTCCTCACGGCGGTACAGATCCATGCTGAGGATGGCAGGAAAGATGAGCAGCACCATAGCGAAGTTAAACACCACGACCACTGCCGCCTGAGAGAGAAAATGAAGATGTTAAGCACATATTCACACACACACAAAATAATCACACACAGCGACACCCACACATCTGCAGAAGGTCTATGCCAAAACCGCAATGATCCCAACAAATTTAATTTTGGACAATTATTTTCTTCATAAGAGATGAATGACAAACAAATAAAAAACACAACTCTTGCCATCCCAAAATTAAATTTGGGCTCATCCAGTTTGGGTTAAGCCCACCTAAATTTCCAAATGTAAATCACATTGCTATCGAATTCATAATTCAATCCAAACACTTCCATATGAAGAACTGGGAAAAAGACTTTCTCTCTCTTTCGGAGCCGACATATCACAAGCTCACTAAAAAGATTTCACCAGGCCAAAAGTTCCTAAATAGTGCAGAGAAACAAACGAGTGATTTGAAACATTTAATTCTGATTCATTCAGTTTAAGCTCACAGAATATCTAATGTGAGAAGAGTAACTGGATGAAGAAAAGTGGCATGACAATGAAAGTCAGAAACCGAAAAAGACAGAAGGAAAGGGCAGATTGGAGCATGCCTGCCCTAGTTAGGGTGTATTTTTTTATGGGTGGAGGTTGGAGTTATGTCAGACTGCCAGACCACCCAGAGAGCAGCTCAGCCTGACAGAGCCAAGACACAATGAGAGACACTCATGTATACAAAGCAACTCCAAAAAGTATTTGGACACTTCGTCCACACTTAAAAATGTGTGAATGTCACTGCATTAGACAACACAATATCAAATCTATCAACCCATGAGAGGAACAGATGAGAGAATGTGCGTGAGTGACTCTACAGTGAGATCTGTTAGGCCTGACATGTGCGCCCGCTTTTATGCTGCCAAAGAAACAGATAAAATGACTGAAAGAGAGGGGAGGTGCCAAAAACAGTGCTAAACAGAGACAGAAGAATCGAAACACAACCTGAACCATAACAGGATTAAAACAGAGAAATAGCACCAGCCTGAAATGGTAATCACAACCCATTTACTTCTGTAATGTAAATTAAAAATAAATAAATCAAAAATAACAAAATTAAATGTTATCAAAGATGGTGATTTACTATATTTTAATTAAGACAAACATTTTTTTCTTTGGGAATAATGAGCACCAATAATGTTACACTGCAATTTAAAAATTCAACAAACAGTTTTTTTTTTGATTATTTGATGAATAGCAATTTTAAAAGAACAGCTTTTCTTTGAAATTGAATATATATGTAACATTATAAATGTCTTTACTGTCAGTTTGGATCAATTTAATGCATCCTTGATGAATTAAAGTATTAATTTTGAACGTTAGTATATATTAGTAAATTTGGTCAATTTTGATTATTTTGTTGACTTTAAAGTAAACTTAAATATTAGAGGTAATATCAATAGGAGGCAAAAACAATTATTTTTTGTAATTTTTAAGCATTTTCCTCAAATTGGAGAAGCTGAGCCAAAAAAATTGACAAAAGCTTAAGTAAACATCTTAAAGTAAACATTTGTACACATAACCAGAAGTAATTATTTGGACACAAAAGCTGAAGTAAACATTTGGACACTACAGCTGAAAACAGAGACTGTTACAGCAAAAAATAACACGTTTACAAAAGCAGTATCTCTCCATGTGTTCTCAGCGGTTTTGAAGACGAGCGTTTTCAGGCACCATTGAACAGGTGCCAGTTGGAGTGCGCTGCAGTGAAAAACAGCGTGTGTGCGTCTGACAGACGTGTGTGAGACATCCATCCACACGTCCTAATACTAGATCTACAGTGCTGTATGAGTGCGTGTGTGCGTGTTTAGGCATGAGCCACATCTTGCGTGTGGTCGGCAGGCTCATCCTGCACATCATTTTTCTGAAAATATGCAATCATCGAACAGACACAAACACTATACAACCGTTTACACTTGCAGATATATAAAGCAATTCTGCTTTTAGGATCAAAGGGTCCTGTAGGGTTTAAGCTGAGATTTGAGAGAACGTGTTTGTTGAACAGAACAAGGCATCAGTGTGTGAATCTCTGCGTCTGCCTCCGTGCAGCTGTGCAGGTTATGTGGATGATGGCGAGGTTACTTCACCTAAAGTTCAAGGGTTAAGCAGCCCAAGTGCTGAGTCTGTGTGTGTGTTTCATGTGAGGGTGATGAGGCTTCAGACATCTAATGGTGAAAATCTTTAATCTAAATTTATTAAGACTGATTAAGCAGGTTCAAAGTAGGTATTCCGATTTCGTGGGCCATTTAAAAAGGGATAGTTCACCCCAAAATAAACTCCTGTCATAATTTATTCACACTTATGTTGTTACAAAGAGTAGAAAATCATCCATGCCATTACAATGAATGGGAAATGGAGTTCTTAATCTTCACAAAGTTTGTGAAAGCACCATAAGTGTCCTAGCTTTTTACTATTTTGAATGATGACTGAAACCTTGTATAACAGGCACTTCTCGGGTTTATTGCCATCTTATGATACATCACTTGTTGTATTCCTCAACTGTAAGTCGCTTTAGATAAAAGCCAAATGAATAAATGTAAATTTAATAGTGGTCCATACGACTCAATGTTCTATTTTCTAAGGTCTTCTGCAGGCTTACAATAGATTTGTGAGAGCAGAGACAAAAATTAAAGTCATTATTGACTGAAAATCTCCATTTATCTCCATTCATGAGTAGTGAATCATGAAAAAAATCATTCACATCATTTATTTGAGTCACTAAAAAAGACCTAACTCAACTTCAACTTTCTTTATGAAGCTTGAAATCTCTAGCTACTTTTGTGTCCAACAGAAGAAAAGGTCATACAGGTTTGAAACAACATGAGAGTGAGTAAATGATGACAGAATTTTCATTCAACTCTCCATTTAACCTGATTTAAGTCTGGAATAGGTTGCGGGCAGATTTCTTGCTTAGCCTCTTTCCTATGTCACTTCCACAGCCTTGCGGTCATAAATAAACCGCAGATGTGTGGAACAACAACCCGTACAACCCACCCCCACTCCCAGATTGAGTTACATGCCCACAATCTGCACACTTAGGGGGCCGTACCAATAATCACATGCCATAGTGGGGGTTATGGGCCACGGCAGCTTGCTCAACCTGTCACATGCTCAGTTTGATGAATGAAATCAATAAAAGTCATGTGTAGAAATCTGGAGTCAATGAAGGTATGGAACACGCACAAAGAACAAAGAAAGAGCTGGTATGGACATGGGAAATTTCGGCAAACATCCATTAGTAATACAAACAAACACACAATTGCTACAGAAAAGCAATCTGAACTGTATTCCTATTCAAGAATATGAAAAAGAAACACACAAACCTGTAAGGAGAAAGCTCGGAGTGCTGGGATTGGAATAAGAGCAGCCATGAAAAATGCCGTCACATTACTGATGGAAGTCAAAGCTACACTAGCCCCAGTCCTCTTCAGACATTCACCAGTGCGGTCCTGAGGAAGAAAGACAGAAAAAAAAACACTACAATGTCATCAAATCAACAGCAAGAATATTATTCTTACCACTAGAGTCCACTTATAATGTTAGTCAAGGTTTCTTGCACCAAACGTATTAGCTTTTCAAGTCCATTTTCCACCTTCTCTCGGACCCTGAGAACTAAACTGGCTGTTTTTGCTATTGTACCACTGTAGATCAGACCACTGTACATAAATGACTCTGGTATGATTGGCTAACCTATTCACATGTGAAATGAGTAGCAATGTTCACTACTAGGGATAAGCATTTGTCATTTTTTCCTTTCGAGTACTGGAAAGCTCAGTAGAATGATTAATTGTTTACCTTTTTTATGTTCAGTGTGAACTTATTCAACACTGTGATATAACGCAAACATTTATACACTTAATTCTTTTTCATCTGAATGTGGTGCTTTGTACAACTATATTCTCATCTCAGTCGAACTTGCATTTTTTGGAGAACAATAATAACTGAGTAACTGGAAATGATGATAAACAATGATTCATTTATAATAAATACATTAAAAAAAATGTATTTTGTTATTAAATGATCAAATATGGGGTAGGTGTAGTTCTAGGACAAAATCCAATTTCTAAAAAAATAATTTTCACTCTCAGCAGGCCTAGATTACATTTGTCAATAATGATACAGACTTTAGTAGAACAGAAATTTAGTCTGACAAAAATTATTCACCTTTAATAAATCACTGCCAGACTCATTACAACGTTTGTGAAGGTGTAACTTGCGTTTAAGCTCACTGATAGCAGTCGTGGCCTGATGGTTAGCGATTCGGACTTGTAACCCAAAAGGTTGTGGGTTCGAGTCTCAGGTCCGGCAGGGATTGTAAGTGGGGGGAGTGAATAACCAGCACTGAGGTGAGACCCTTGAGCAAGGCACCGAACCCCCAACTGCTCCTCGGGCGCCGCAGCAATATGGCTGCCCACTGCTCTGGGTGTGTGTTCACGGTGTGTGTGTTCACTACTGTGTGTGTGCACTTGGATGGGTTAAATGCAGAGCACAAATTCCGAGTATGGGTCACCATACATGGCCACACGTCACTTCACACACTGATGTTTTCATCGAAGAGAGCTGGTAATCACACAACCAGCCATGACAACTTAATGAGCTCAACTTCTGATGAAAAGCTTTCCTTTCTCGCCCCGCTATTATGTGGATTTTTAGAGAGAGAGAAAAAAAAAAGAGATTAATTTCCCTCCCTTCTCCTTATCCCTCACTCACACAGAAATATTTTCCATCAAAGGCAGGACACATCCTTTTAAACAAAGCAGCCCGGGGTGCAGAAACACGATTGGCTCGCTGTCTTGTTAGGATAAACTCTCTCTCCTCATTTCAAAGCCATTCAGGGTTCGAGACGCATGAGAAACAGTTCCAAACTCCACCTCCACACACAGAGGTAGAGATGAGGAGAAGGAAAGAAAGAGGGAAGGTTGTTTTCTGGTTTCTGAGGACGTGCAGGACCACACACAGTGAGCTTTAAGACTCCCTCCTCCTTCAGGGGAACTGTTTACTTTCCACACAAAAGTGTCGCTGCACGCTGTGCAATCTCACATAAACACAAGCCTGAACTCAGCCCGTCTGCATAAGAGTCATCTAAATCACCTCTCATACACGACCACACGTAAACGCACACGAAAGCTAAACAAAGATACCCTTGACAGATGTATTAACGGAAACATATACACAATCTACAAAAAAAAAAAAAAAAAAAAAAAAAAAAAAAAAAAAAAAACGATCAAACTAACAACTCAAATCCTCAATGCCCGTGCTAGTATTGGTTTTTACAGAAATTGATTAAAGATTAACACCTGGCAGTACCACGGTAAAGTGATGATATCAGATGGTAATACCACAGTACTTTGATATAATAGAAAGGTACGGATAAAACTAAGAAGAATAAAAATATTGTACTGCAGTGTACCAGCATAGACCAATGAATGAACAAATGACTCTAATGAGCTGCTCTTCAAATTAATACGCAGTTCAGAAATATTCAGGAGTTACCGGTTTGAATAAGCAAGACAAATCCTTTACTGAATGAACTGAGTATGTCTCCAGTTATCTTTACTTTTAGTTATTTTCATCTTCAAACAAAGCAAGTGTTTAACACTTAAGGTTTGTGAAATGTAAATCTGTATCATTACTGACTGATTGTTCATATGTCATTTTGAAGTTAAAAGACGCTTAATAAAAAATGTAATAATGATAATAATCAGGGCCTGAATTTCGTTTTGGAAAATGGGGGGAATTCCCCCTATAGGTTGCTCTTAATGGGGGGGGGAAGTAAGGGTATTTTTAGACATATTTTTAAACTACAATCTTCCAACCTAACTGTTTCGTCACCCAGTGTATTTGTGTTTTACAATTTATAATGGTGTTGATATTTCAACAGTGAGGAAGATACTTCAAAATAACTTTGATTTCAAACTCTGAATTGAATATATTTTAACTAAAAAAGACAAGTAAACAGTCAGTAATAAAATAAGAATAGATAAAGCAATGGCACAAACAAATACAATAACAAGATACAACTAAAATTAACTGTGCTTGAAGTTTTTCAGGTAGGTATAACAGTAATATTCAGGTACAGAAATACCACAGAAACCGAATAATCTATTTAACTTTAAAACAACACTGGTTAGTCTTCAATGTATGAATAAACATTAATGACAGACAGCAGCAGGTTTATTTGGGTTGCTGTCTCTTTAAGACCTCGTGTACGGATCTAACTGTTACACACAAGTTTTGTTTCTCAACTGTTTACATTCACTAAATAGCCAATATACTGACAATGTTTAGTATAAATCGACTGTTTACATGAATACTCATCAAGACGGGCATTTTGACAATTTTGTATGTATTTGGCTGTTTACACGCAATAAGGTGCAACACAACTTCATTCTTAAGTCGCGCGCTTTCAGATGCGGCTCTATGTGCATGCACTTTGCATGTGAGCTCACAGAAAGGGGTCTCACAAAGAGCGTGCAGGTATTGAATTGAGTACTCGAATGTTTAAAATTGTAAGACTCAAAAACACATGCAAATAATACAATGCGTCATCTGTCCCGAGCGTCTGTACTGTAAGTATACTGTTATTTATTTGTTAATTTAAAGTGTGTCATAGGAAACAATAGTACTAACATGGTACCATATCTAAAATCAAAACAAAACAATGGTAGTACTATGGTACATTTTTTCATCTGTTTTGTTTAGAAACGTCTTGAGTCACACATCACACAGTGGCCCTCAGCAGATCAAAGTATGCCAGTGTTTTGAAGTTACATCACAGGCCGGGGCAGGTACACACACATTCCTTTATGTAAGTGATAACATGAGGGTATGCATTGATATACCCCCCTTCCTCCTGATAACATGCTAGCTCCCTCATTTCTGAACGGACTGCCTTGTCTCGACACTATCTTTGGATGTGTAGTCACTTTTGCGCTTCTGAGGGTTTGTGGTGGGAGAAAACTCTTGTTTTTTAATTGTGTTCCCTGCTTTTCAGGATGTTTGGGATGAGATAACACACCTCAAATGGAATCCTCTTGTTCTGGCCAGTCTCGCTGAAAGCGTGAGCCAGGAGAAAGACATCGTCCACCCCTACACCAAGGGCTAGGAACGGCAACACCTTTAAGCACATGAAAACAGAAGAGCATGTTACACGTGAAAGATGTTACACTACCGATGGTGTCCATGTTTGCTCATGTGCGTGCGATGTACCTGTGTGGTAGCGGCGTTAAAGGAGATGCCCAAAAGTGAGCAGAGTCCCAGTCCAGCGGCGACAGAAAGAGTGACCAGCAACACTCCGGCCAGCCCAACCGCCCCCTGAGACTTGGCGCAGTCCCACCGCAGCATGGTCAGACACGCATAGGCAAGCTGCACACACATAACATAGCTATAGCGTTAATCTGACATTATCATGTTACTGCAGCGCTGTTCTCATGAGTGCGGTCATGGCACAGCAGGGTCAGGCATGCACTGGCAAGCTGCATGTAACATAACACTAAAGGCCTATACACACCAAGTCTGAATTTTCAGCACGAAAAACAAGATTTTAAAATGAAAAACATCTATCCCTACGAACTCCTTCACACGATATATCGTACTGCAGTGATCAGTCGATTGTTTGATTCTGAGGCTAGGTCAATTGTTGTTACATTTTATGGTCCTACAAGCCTTTTTGACTTGTAGAGGAGAGAGCGACAGAAAATTCAAACTTGCAAAACTCACATTAGCAGTACAACATGTGCCATAACCTGCTTCGTCACAGCTTTGACCAGCTGATTTATCAGTCTCAAAGGTCCCTATAAAATTATACTTGTTTCAGGCGCATCTGACCCCAACGGGACACATATCTTGAGGCCGTTTTCCATAAAAAATTGCAACAGAGCTGCAACAGAATGAATTTAGAGGTCTCGAGACACATTTTTATAAACTGGAATATTTTTTATCTAATATCCCAAGTGAAAATAAAATTGTGCATGTTTGAAAGTGCATTTGTAGTGTACTTAAAATCTTAAAAAGTACAAAGTACACCTTCATGACTATATTTGTTAACACATACTTTAAAATACGTTTTAAATCACTGTTTAAATAATCTTGTGTCATGCTTTAAAGTACACTTATTTTGATGCATTGACTAACATATTAAAGAATGTGTAAAATATCATTTTAACTGTAGTTTGTTATTTGATATCGAATTTAAAGTGAATTTAGTTTAAATTTACTAAATTGCAGCTTCATTGCAGATGTGTAAAAGGACAATAGAAGTAATTGGGAAATTACGGACCCACTTTATATTAAGTGGCCTTAACAATTATGTACTTACATTTAAATTAATAATTTGGTACAATGCATTTATTGTGTACATACATGTTTTACATTGTACTTATATTTTAAAAATACCTGCATGTAATTACATCTGTATTTAATTTCTGTAATTACATTTATAATTACACAGTTGACTCATCCCTTACACCTTAACCCACCCTTAAACCTATCCATACCACCAAACCTGTCCCTAACCTTACCCGTATCCCACCTTAATAGCAGCAAAAGTGTTTTGCAATACAATATGAACACAATAAGTACA